TTTACCACATATGAGTATGCTCAACCACGTATATGCTATCAAGATGTTCAGCTTCTCTGGTCCTCTCACCTTAAAATGGCAGTGATGATAAATGCGTCCACCTCTCAGATCCATTGAATTCCAGGGAGGTAATAGAGATGGAAACGCTCTACACTTGTAAGGTATTTGTATTATTAAAATATCAGAATACACAAAACAGACTCATACTCTTAATTACCCTACCAAAAACTCAGTATGTACCCTGGGCAAGTAAGTATTTACAAAGTTAATTTTATTATTTTGCAGTTTTAATGTGCAGAATTCAGCTCTTCCATTTATGCATGTCCTGTGCTTTAAAAAAGAATGGAGCTTTTTCTTTAACTTTAAAAATATCTTTTATAGTCTACATTTTTATTTTTCTTATCTTTTAAACTATGAGAATAATGCTGCTTTCAAATATACCCTTAGTATTTTTGTAATGATGCTTGAATGTTCTCTATTAAATATTTTATTTACACATCATCAAATTATTAAAAAAAGAAAATCTGATTTCAGGGGGAAATTAATTAGGTTTGTGTTTAGAAGGTTAAATAAAATTATTTTCTGTCATTGGTAAACCTTTTCTTATTTTATGTTTGATTTATATTATCCCTCTCAAGTTCTTATAATCATGATTCTGAATGTTCATCTCAGAGATACTGTTTACTAAGCTCTTTGTGCCCTGTACTGTCTATAATAGATCATTCTAGTGTATTCTGCCTTTGACCATTATTCCTTTCACATTTACTTGCTATTAACAGGGTTTTTTTTTTTTCTATGCATAGTCTTAGTCTTTTGAAGATCATGCTACTAATAGGCATTTTTAAGATATTTTAAGATTTTTTTCAGCAATGACCTTTTAAAACCAAATGGCTTTTTTCCTGACACCGCTTTCTCCTATAGCAAACCTATATTTAACTTCCCTTGCATGCTTTGAAATCTAAAAACACAGAGTGATTGCTACATTTCGGCAGTCCTTGCAGCATTCTCAGAGAGAAATCGGCAGGTATTGCGGGTAACAAGCCCAAGTTGCATAAGCGTGTGTAGTGCGGGCGTGCAAGGTGCTGTCATCAGGAGGCTGCTGTTCTTTGGTGATGTTCCACATGCACTCTAAGAGAGAACTGAGTTTGTTTCTTCCATAACATTTAGCTTAATGAAATTTTGATCTATTTGATTTACAACTAGTAACTCTAATACCCATTTCTCTCAGTAGGCAAGTTAGATTTAAAAAGTTAAATTTGGGAAAAAGTGGGGAGTCATTCAGCATCACAAAATGCCATTTATATAGGTAATACTGTTTTACTTTTTGTTTCTGCATTTATTTGGTCATGTAAATGTGCTTAGAACTAATAAATTTGCAATTGGTGGAAATTAATGCATGACTCTTCAGCAGAGTATGGAATGTAAGCATGTGCTATGAAATTGCAATTCTTTGATCCTTTATTTTCCAACATTTACATACTGGTTCCATTTAGAGTGTAGTCCATTCTTATTTTTTGTTTCATAGATTGGCCAAAATGGGAAGGACTGGATTCCGTTCTCTTCCACGAAGAGTCAGTGGGACTGGCTAAGATCAAGGTCTGAGGCTTTTTCCATCAGTCATCAGGTGTGCATTGATCAGAACTCACTACAGTTCTGTACATCTGTCTTTATAGTGTTTGATCGATAAGCATATTATAAATGTGTACTTTTATTTGATGTTGAGCTCACAACCTTATATTTATCCTGTAGTTTTAAATGCACCAATAACTAATTTGAGTTTTGTAATATATTGAGATAAAAAGATATTATTAGCCATGAAAAAATTTCAGCTGGTCTTAGAAAAGTGTAATATTTGAAATCTGCAGTTCTTCATTGCTCAGTATGTACATCCAAAGATAACAGAGTTCATTTGTTACTCCATATTGAGTATCACCAATTTTTATAATATCAAATGTTTGTATATTGTTTCATGGTGTACTTTTTATAATTTTTTCAATAACTTAGAATTTATCATTTTTCTCAGCTGGAATTCTCTGCTCATTATGGTTGGATCTCATAACACAGTGTCAAATATGACCAGTCTTTGAAATATTTTCAGATATTAGTTATATACAGGGATTTAGATCCTTTGGATTCTGTGTTGGTTTTACAGTGGAAAAATAAGTTTGTTTCCTACAATGGTTTTATACTCTAAGTTTGGTTCCTACCTTGTTCTAAATAGGTGCACAAAAGCATCGTGTTAGGAAATCAAATAGTTGAAATTGCTTTTTTTTTCTGCCTTGTGAGAGTACTTTATACCAATTTACTATAGTGTCATTATTGGTTACATCAAAATCACTGTTTAGATGTTTCTGAGAGAGGTGTCTCCTGAATGAAATTATACCAGGAAAAGAACAAGTCCTTGAGATTCCAAACTCGATCTTAAACCAGAGGGTACATACCGAGTTTGCATTAGTAATGTCAGTTGCATTATTGTATTTATGTCACTTTTAAACTGCAGTGGAGACTTAGACAACATGAACAGCATAAAGGAAGGCCTTGCCAGTGTCTGCCCACCAATGGAGAAAGGATACATGAACTAAACACCGACCAATTTATCCATATGCTTTACATTTTAATCACGAGTGGATATTTACTCTATTTTGCCTGTTTTGTGACACCTCTGTGTTAAAATATAATAGGATATATTGTAATATACACTTAGTTTTACAAAAATTTAGGTTAAATTTAAGGCCTCGCCAAAAATGTAACTGGAATCTGCAAAAGTAAATGTCATACTCCAGCTTGTGAAGTGTTGGTCTCGTGCCGAAGACAAGTGATGTAAAGAAATTGATTTTCTTTATTTTTCTCTGAATATATAATAGGATAAAAAATCCAGTTGATTAGTAGTTGATAAGTTATTTAACCACATTGTTTTCAATTTAAAAATCAGATCTTTTTAAAAGTTTATAGGTATTATAATTTCTGCGTCTCTTAAAAGTACATTGCTATACTAGCATTTGTGAAATCTTGAGGAATCATTTAACTCTTTTATGTCAATTGAGTCTTTGGGGGTTGGTTTCTTACTCTGAAAAATACAGTTGATAATATTTACTCTCTCTCGTCCACAAATTTTCAAAGCTTTCTATCAGTTTAAAAATGTTGTTTAAATAGACAATCTGTTTCATACAATATGTTCATTTCTTTCTCAACGCACCAATAATGAATTGAAACTCTGACACATGTTTTTACAACCTAAAACACCTCTATAATGATGTATCCTTGCATAGGTACTGTGCTCTAAGCCAAAAGTCCCACTGGTGTGCTGCACACAGGTTACAAGTGTGTGAAAGACTGACCCCTCAGCTCTTGGGGAGGCCTGATAACTCTGGTTCATCCGCTAACCGCAGTCTGTTCAAATGGGAACAGACCCATTTTCTATGATGCGAAAAAATGAAAAACAGTGAGGAAAATTACTTCAGCCAAATCCTTCCTTCCTCCAAATGACAAGGAGCCGTGATCCTCACCTCATATGTAACATCAAAAGGCTTTACCATTTCAAGAATGCATATTTGTTACGAAGATAAGTCATTTCTACTCTTGACTCAGAAATTTCTCTGTGTGTGATGACACTGGTATAAAGAGTATATTTTCACTTTGGGTGACGCATTCAACTCTTTCAGGCCTCTGGTGTTTGTGCATTAACTAGGTCTTCCTAGAATAAATGATTCACAAGGTGCCTAAAAGAGTTTACAGTTGCTTACTTATATTTTCCTGTAATGAAGAATGTGACTAGAATCAACTTAAACAAATTAAAATAATTTTTAGACATTAAAAAATTTGTGGAAAGATTTTTTTATGTTCTCAGTCAGATTTATGTTCTCTAGTCTCCTGTAAGATTTGAAACTTAAAATGCCACTTTTAATGTTATGTTTTTGGGGGTTTTTCATATTTCACAGTTCTATTTATTCTATGATGGCATAAAGTCACAAACGAGACACTAAAAACAAGGAAAAACTATAAATACCACCAATGCAGGGATCTGTTAGTATTTCCCAATGTCCCATTGGGAAAATACTTAAGTGCCTTGTAGATTTGTTTAATTTTTTTATTATATAGTACTTTATTTTCATAATTACTATGAAAAATACTTTTGTTTTTGTTAAACATATCTTCATTTTATAAAAGGGCATGTATGCATTATAGTTTAGAAAACATGGAAAGTTATAAGGAAAATACATATAATCCATAACGTCAGTATTCAGAGATAACTACTGTTAACATTTTGATATAGATCCTTCTAGTCTTTTTTTAAGTATATGCATATTTTTTACAAAAAAAGAAATTATACTGTATGTATTTTGTATCTTTGCTTTTTTAACATAACATTTGTAATAGTTGTATCCTATTCTATTACATGAAAGTCTCCATAGTTTATTATACTTTTTTTTTCCTTATTTTTGGACATTTGGGTTGTTTCTAGCAGTTTGTAGGATAAATAATGGTATAATGAAGGTCTTTATAAATTAATCTTTTCTGAGACTGTACATTTCCCTAAGGTACATTTCTAAAATGAGAATTGCTGGCTAAAAGGTCTGAAGTTTTTGTTTGTTTCTACTTTTTTTAGTGTCATGTTTTGATGCTTCCTGAGAGCTTCTGAAATCGCTACTGCTTTTCCTAAGTAAAACATTTGTCAGGTGGAATATCAAGAGATGTATGAACTGTTCATTCTGAGCAATGCATTAATATGTATTTTGACAAATATAAAGAAACCTACAGATATTACATTAGACCAGCTGAATCCATTTTATGGTTTCTTTTTAATTCAAAAGCATCACATAGCAAATAAAATTTTTAAAAATTAAATTTAGTTACAAACTAGTTGTTTCTTATTTTTTTTCCAGTCCCTTTTTGCTTTCTTTTACGACCACATGAAACTTGAGAAGCCACCTAAAGCTAAATCATTTAGTGGAGTTGGGCAGTTCCCAAGTGTCCAACAAGAAGGCCTGGTTTAGGCTGCGATGGCCACTGTCATTCCTGGTGATTTGTCAGAAGTAAGAGATACCCAGAAAGTCCCTTCAGGGAAACGTAAGCGTGGTGAAACCAAACCAAGAAAAAACTTTCCTTGCCAACTGTGTGACAAGGCCTTTAACAGTATTGAGAAATTAAAGGTTCACTCCTACTCTCACACAGGAGAGAGGCCCTACAAGTGCATACAACAAGACTGCACCAAAGCCTTTGTTTCTAAGTACAAATTACAAAGGTATTAAACTCTATTTGTCTTTCAGATTATATTTGCTATGTTGTTGGCTGTGTGAAGCCATTGTAAACGTATATATTTGTATACACATTTTTTAGCTGATTTACAGAAAGGAAATGTTAAGTAGATTAGACATTGGCTAGTTTTAGTATTCTAAATCACATATTTTTATGTGTTAGTGTCTTTGGATTTTTAAAAATGAAATGCTTAATGAGAGTAGAATTTCCATTTGTACAAAGAAATTACAAGAAAAGGTATGGACATTTACGTGAGTATATTCAGTATTGCTCATTTGTTTTTGTAATAATAGCTGAAAACCAGCCAGTGAAAATTAAAGTGGCAACTTAAATGACTCAAGTTCTACAGTATTTAGGTATATTAACTATCCTTGTAGTATAGATTAAGTATAAAAGTGTCCGTTATTAGGGAAATTCTGTTTTAGCATAGTAGTTTAGCTTCCATTTGAAAAATGAATACATGCCATTTTTGTCATGATACTTACAGAATATGTCTATGTTCAAAGGCACATGGCTACTCATTCTCCTGAGAAAACCCACAAGTGTAATTATTGTGAGAAAATGTTTCACCGAAAAGATCACCTGAAGAATCATCTACATACACATGACCCTAACAAAGAGACGTTTAAGTGTGAAGAGTGTGGCAAGAACTACAACACCAAGCTTGGGTTCAAACGTCACTTGGCCTTGCATGCTGCAACAAGTGGTGACCTCACTTGCAAGGTCTGTTTGCAGACTTTTGAAAGCACGGGAGTGCTGCTGGAGCACCTTAAATCTCATGCAGGCAAGTCATCTGGTGGGATTAAAGAAAAAAAGCACCAGTGCGAGCATTGTGACCGCCGGTTCTACACCCGGAAAGATGTCCGTAGACACATGGTGGTGCACACTGGAAGAAAGGACTTCCTCTGTCAGTATTGTGCACAGAGATTTGGCCGAAAGGATCACCTGACTCGACATATGAAGAAGAGTCACAATCAAGAACTTCTGAAGGTCAAAACAGAACCAGTGGATTTTCTGGATCCATTTACCTGTAATGTTTCTGTGCCTATAAAAGATGAGCTCCTTCCAGTGATGTCCTTACCTTCCAGTGAACTGTTATCAAAGCCATTCACAAACACCTTACAGTTAAACCTCTATAACACTCCATTTCAGTCCATGCAGAGCTCGGGATCTGCCCACCAAATGATCACAACTTTACCTTTGGGAATGACATGCCCAATAGACATGGATGCTGTTCATCCCTCTCACCACCTTTCCTTCAAATACCCATTCAGTTCTACCTCATATGCAATTTCCATTCCTGAAAAAGAACAGCCATTGAAGGGGGAAATTGAGAGTTATCTGATGGAGCTACAAGGTGGTGTGCCCTCTTCATCCCAGGATTCTCAAGCATCATCATCTAAACTAGGGTTAGATTCTCAGATGGGGTCACTTGATGATGGTGCAGGGGACCTCTCCCTGTCAAAAAGCTCTATTTCTATCAGTGACCCTCTCAACACACCAGCATTGGATTTTTCTCAGTTGTTTAATTTCATACCATTAAATGGCCCTCCCTATAATCCTATATCAGTGGGGAGCCTTGGAATGAGCTATTCCCAAGAAGAAGCACATTCTTCTATGTCTCAGCTCCCCTCACAGACACAGGATCTTCAGGATCCTGCAAACACTATAAGTCTTGGGTCTCTTCACTCACTGTCAGCAGCTTTCACCAGTAGTTTAAGCACAAGCACCACCCTACCACGATTCCATCAAGCTTTTCAGTAGGACTCCAGAACATGGATTTATTACAGAAATGTATGTGTAGCCCTGCCTTAGATGACTGTTTTTATTTTAGTGCCTACTTTTAAACAGTATAAAAGTTTCTGCTTTTGTATAATACCAATATTCATTAAGCCAGTATGAAATAGAAACTAGCTTTGGAACCATTTGTGTTCAGTTATGTTTACCTGGGTATTTCGTCCTAATTCACTGCCAATTGTCATATTTTAAGATTATTTTTCATATAGGAAAGCCATTATTATTAGTAACGTCTTACAAATCCCACATTCGAATTACTTTTTGATCTTAGAATTTTTATTTTTTTTCCACTACTAATGGCTCTCTACCAGTTTGACATTTGGCTCATTAAAAAAAAATTGCAATAGAATGTAAATTTTCTAAAATGTATATGAATAACCCAAGAGTTTCTAAAATTTTTACTAGCCTCTATATGGGTTCATAATGAAATATTTCAAATGAATTAAGAATCCATTTTGGGGAAATAACAAATGTTTCTTAGATGTACAATAACTTCAGGTCAGTATGTTTTGAAGACTTGCTGTTGTCTGCTCAAATATTTCCTGTCTCTGTTGTGCACATATAAGGAAAACAAAACCGAAATACAAAACAGCAGTATTTATAGTAAAAAGAGACTCCTGGTAAGGTGACATGGCGTTCCATGTTACGCAATAGTTGGCCTTAAATTAGTACACAGGATATTTTGCCACGTTTCAAACTTTTTAACTCTCTCTCTTTCCATTTACTAATACTAATGTTTATGGCATTGGAGTCTTCAGAGTCAGTGCATAGATAGCTCTCCTTAAATATTTTCCACCTTTCAAGGCCAAAGGGTGGGTCAAATGCAGCCAGCAATTTTATTTTTATTGTTAGTCCACAGTTAGTCTAGAATCTAGAGCCATCATGGAACACAGGTGTTAGGTGTATTGACCCCAGAATGAATTGTCTCAGTTTAAGTGGTGTAATAAACATCCTAAGCAGGAAGGTATGAAACATCCCTTTCAACTTGGGGGCTTGTTGAGGGGTCATGCCCCCTGTTGCCAGAGTTGGAGATGAGACTATTTTGAAGTAAAGTAAAAGCCTGTTGCTTATATCACTTGTAGCTAAATTCGGTAACATTTTCTTTCCCTTAAGAGCCAAGAGCAAAAAACAACAGTTTAGCTGCTTAATATCTTTCTTATTCAGTGTTAATTGATTTTTCCTTGCTATTTTCAAATGGAGAATTTAAAGTGAAATGCTTTAGAAAACTATTTGAGGAATGACCACAAAGTTTTAATCAACTAAAAATATATACAGTAAAACCCACTTTTACTGGTCTCTGGGAAATGCAGTGAATGTTGCAAATAAATAAGTTGAATTTGTAGAGGGAGAAAAAGTAAAGTAAAACAAGCACTATCTTAGTTAAATGTGAAAATAATCAAGAATATTCTGTTTACTGAATAAAGTAGTTGTGGGCTTTCCTCATTGTTAGATAATCACCATAATCTCTGAAACATCAAATTATTATATTTTTCTAATCAGTAGGGACATCAAACTAAAAAAAACCTATCTATTAAGCACTTGTTAACACCTTATTTGGGAGCCTCTCTGTTGGGGCAGGTGGGGGGGGGGGTGTGGTTATAGAAGAGTATATATCTCTTTAAAAAGAAAAAATTTTTGAGCACTCAGCCCTATATGGAAGTTTCTTTTCCCTTTTATAGGGCCAGTTATTACTGCCGATGTTTACCAAGAATTTCTAAAAATGAGTGCAGATTACTGAATATAATGCATTATTTAAAATATTTGGGAGTGGTATAATTTGTGGAGGAATGTAAATTGTAATAATGTAAATGGGGGTTTCACTCTATATATTATATCTATACACACACACATTTATCGCACTTCATAGAATCAAAGTTGCTCTCTTAAGGAACTTTGGCTCCTGATATTTTATCATGCTCCTACTTTTTTTTAATCCTAGGAGCAGTAGTTTTTATACTTATATTTAAATTTTATTATTAAAAATTACATTTTATAAAAGTGTTCCAAAGGCATTAAAATTATATATGTTAATAAGGAAATACATTTAAAATTTTTTCAAACTGCTCCTAAGCTTTTGATTAGGAGAATATTGCTCTGAAAGTAGGCTTTTAGCTCTGCTTTATTACTGCTTCCTTTAGTTTCTATGAAACAGATTGCTTACCGAAATCATTAGTTGAATGATTAGTGTTCAATATTGCTTTAATGACCATTTTTAAAAATGGAAAAAAGAAATTTGGTGACAGAGCACAAATACAAAACCTATTTTTAAATAGACATCACAAATGCAAGTGTAGAAACACTACTTTATATAAAATTTGCAAGAGGAGAAGTCAAATTAATGAACTGAGTCAGCCTTAGTAGGCTGTATTTCACTGCTAATAAAAAATTAAAAAGGGAGTACCAGGATTTATTAAATAAAGCATTTTAGAAATGGGGAATGGCGCCATATATGTGTATATATATATTTTAGCCTAATTCTCGCCCTGCATGGAATTCAGATATATGGAGGCACATCTTTCAGGGCACCAGTGTTAAAATTGTGCAGTCTTAATTTTCATACATATACCCCTTTGCCTGTTGCTGGCCCACAGACTTAAAATGACACTTCCACGTAAGAGGGAATTGAGCTAATTTGTTTTTTGAAATTGACTGTAGTGGTCACTAAAACTTTTTGGAGAGAATTTCTGTTAAAGATGAGGCAGACTCATTTGTTTTAATTGCACAATGGTTTAACAAGTATAGAACACAGAATTGGCTCCTTTTTATTCCTAGAAAAAATTTGACATCTGTTTTTATGTCAACTGGATATGATTAAAAATAATTACTGCCAATGCTGTTTTTGTTTTCCAGTGGCCAGAATTTAGAAATCCTTAAAATTTCTAATAGTGCCTTTGCTTGGTCAAAATAATAATAATAATGATTTTTTTAAATTTAAAGGGATTATCATTAAGTAAAAAATATTTCAGTTTAGAATTTGGACCTCAGACAAGATATTGAACCTCATTCAGTTTGAACTTCCGCATGTGTGGATAAATTAGATCACCAGACATGGAAGCATGACTGTGGAAGGATCTTGGCACAGTAAGCAATTATTATCCACTTATATATGCAAATATCATCTTTATATTTAGTTATTGGTCACTGTTAAAATTGGCATTTTTAAATCCTATCACCAAGTTCAGTTTTTCAAAACTTTAGTTGTCCTGGCTGATCATGCACCACTCTTTGTACAACTATTAAATTTCATTTAGTGTTTCTTCCAAACTATGTATTTTTGCCTATTTGTTGCTTGTGCTTTATTATTATTAGTCATTTGTGGAATATAGTGATACATTGTGTTAATTTGGACAGTAGCGGTTTTTAAAAACCATATACTGACTGAAACGTGAGCCAGAGCTGATTGCTTTATTAAGCTAATAATGAATGTTAAAGAGTACATATTTTCAGGATCATTTATCTAGTAAGCAATACACATATATAGGCCAATATTTTTTTTAAAAAAATAGAGCTTGGTCAACCTCTATACTACACATATTACAAGATATAGCACTTTCAAACAATCTAAACCTTTACAGAAACTTTCTTATAGGTTATGCCTTTTATTTTAAGACTTATTATGATTTGTTTCAAGTGCCATTAGATGATATATATGTAGGCCTTTGATATATAATGCTTTGTGTTCAAAAATGGTAGACGATATTTTAAACAGGTACATTTTTACAGTGTTTTCTTATCAATTTGCTATATTGCACAGAATCAGTGTGTGTCTTTTCATAAGGTTTTACAATGGTTTATTTTTTACAAGGTTTACGTGTCTCAAAACACACTGTCTTCCCAGTATGTAAATTTACAAATACCAGTTCACCCAAGTTGCTTCTAGCCTATTTAGATCCATGTGGCATTGGAGGAGATCTTTTAAATGTTGAGTATTCTTCATTAGGAATGGCAGACTGTTATCTCTGACAAATGAGTGGCTAAGTTGACTTTGTCTTATTTTTCTCACTGTGACAGCAGTCATATTGACAACACAGATCGTTTGTTATGATTACATAGATCCACATGAGTGGTGGTGTGTAGTCTTGTGCTGAACACGCATAGGAGCTCCTTTTTGATCGTATAAAACAAGATGCTACTGCCAGCAAAAAGGCACGGTTAGATCACCCTTATCCCCTCCTACAACATTATCAACCCTCTGAGGATGGAAGGCAGTGTCTTTTGATAAAGTTATCTAGCTCTAGAAATGACAGAACTATTGCTAATGTATACGACACTTCATTATATAAGCTTCAGTGGTACAGATGAACCAGAATGAATGTTTATCTTCTCAGAAACACTCCTTCAGTTTTATGTTGGATCATGCTGCTAATGTAACTTGGGATACAACTCTTCATGGTGCTACAAACGTCTCTGTCTCATTCACTCGAATTTTTTTTATCCATAGGAATAAAGGACTTCATTAGGTGTAAAGGTGTACAATATATTTTTATACTGTGACTTAATTTGTCATTAACAAACTTTTACACCACCCACCACAATGTATTCATGTGCACTTGCAAAAGGAAATCTTGGACATGCAAATGTTACCAGAACAAACCCAGCTTCTGTCCACAAGGTGACTGTAACTCAAAAAGAAAAGTGGGCTTTATAATACGGTGTAGAGTGAAGAACATGCTGTATGTTACTAACGGCCCTTTGAATTTAACAAAAACTGGGAATCCATTAGGAAATGGATTGCATCGTGCCTGAACGTAAGCTGGACTGCTGAAATTGTACTTTTAGCTAATGAAAAAGTGTTTGGACTAGTATTCTAAAAATGTTCTAATTAATGATAAAGTTTTGAGTCAAAATAGAAAAGAAAAAAAAATCTGCATTCCAGGCTGAAATTTGTATATTTTTATTGCATTTAAAATTGCTATTCTGTGATATTGGGAATTCAAGTGGCTTATCATGTATATCATGTACTTAAAATGTATCCACAAACTACTGTTGTATTTGTATAAAATATAGACAAAGATCATATTTTTTGTGTGTGTATAAGCTCTGTAAAATAGCAGTCACATTATGAAGCTGCAGTGATACTACATTTTAAACATCCACATCCAAAGAAGCAGGCTATTTATTGTCCAGTTACCCAGATATAAAATATTAATTTGCTGCTAATTAAACAATAGTACTGCAGCTTCTTGTGGCCTACAGTGTTATGTTTGCTGTAAGAAAAGTATGTGAACTCCACAAAATATATGAATAAAATTATAGAA